AGCTGTGGTGCTTAAATACTGATAATGAAATGTATTTAAAATAGATGAAAATAAACATTATAAAAATGAAATCATAATGACCTGTAAATCATTCTGATGCTACTGCTACTCTAATAATAAATAATTCAGCTCTTCTTCACTATAAAGCACTTCTTAATGAAGGTGTTAGCTCAAACACTTGGTCTCAACTAATCCAGGCTGTCAGATATTTCACACTGCAGTTGTGTTCAGGGTTTTGCCATTGAGTTTTGCTCTGTAAGCTGTTTGTGAGTGCACACGCAAAAGAGGGGTACTTTACTCATTAATTCCAAATAAATTTTTATGACAACATCATTGTTAGAAAATAAAAACAATGCAAAGCCATCTGAGAGGGCAGCAGAGGGAAGGTCTTCAAAAGGACTTGTTACGCAGACAGAAATTAAGCCCTTTCAATGTCTGATCAATTATGCAAGGTGTAGGCATTTCTGATCTTAAAAATGAACCAAAGCACACCAAACTTCCACAGTTTAGTTAAATTTCTGATCAATCATTTGCATTCAGAAGTGTCCAGTTCAAATAGACTTAGCTTCTTATCTTGCAAATCAGACCTGTTCAAACTTGCACAGAACTCCAGGCATTAATAAAATATTTAACTTTAGTAGGCACTTTCAAGAATTATCTCAGTCTCTACCTTACATAAAAATATTACTACTTGAAGAAATAAATGCTATACAATACATTAATAAAAGTAACAAAGATTAATGCAATACATATGGTTAAGTAATTGATGTTCTTATTTCATTGGATCAAGTTATACATTTGCCTGTAAATCCACATATAAAATGGCAGGCAACTAAACTTTTAAATAAATTCTTTTCCAGATCTTATCGTGCTGAAATACCTTGTCTATACAAACAGTAGGTAGTCTCTACTGACAAATCATAGTGAAGTTAGTCACCAGTGAAAATTTACTAAACTCAAAACTTAGTGTGTTAGCACAAAAAGAATCCCCAACAGGACCAAACAAGAATATTTTGTAATGCATAATCCCAGTTTTAAATTTAGAAAAATCAGAGCACCTCAATACATTTTTGGCAGCTACCATACTGGCATGCACCTGTGACTCCTCTACCTGCTACGTTTCTTATCTTCCTGCTATGGACACCGAATTGAAAGACTCAAGGAACATTACATTGGTACGTTTTGTTGTGCTGCATGTAGCACTGAGATACGAGGTATTTACCTGACCTAGAACTGATGTTGTGAGACAGGAAAAATAATTAAATGGCATGGCACCATGCCAAGCACTAACTGTAATTCGAAATAATAATTTGAAAAATTATCACTTACAGTTCTAGGACCCGAATATAGTTTATTATTTCTACATTGTATTCTACATAGAAGTCACTTTATAAAAAGCAATTCGGCATATAATTAAAAATAGAAATACACACCAGTATGAAAAAACTATGCAGACACATCAAGGCAGCAGAAGTGATGGCGGGGGGAGTTTCACTCCCATGACTCTGTAGATCTGCCTGTAGGACTGAGGCTACGTCATGGAGAATATGACTAGATACGCCTCCACAGACACAGTAACTTGCTCTTCAGAACACTTTCCTTGTGGGAGGCATTTCATTTTCTAGAGAGTCACATTTCATACTAATCATGTGAAGACTGAAAAAAAAAAAGACAACCAACCCCAAATCAATGAAAAATGTGGGGTCCAATTGTTAAACTTCGGATTTGAAAGACAAAACAGTGAGTACACAGATCTTTTAAGTCATGTGCGTAACACTGAAGACAAAGTAATTTTAATACCATTCAGCTGAATCTCAGAAACTCAGAAAATTATAAAAAGAATCAATTGATTCAATTAAAAGTACAAGTATAAATTACGGATTGGAAAATTAGTCAGAAGTTCTTTTTTCAGAAAGTATAGGCTGAATAGAACTTCTGCAAAATGCCTTATTCTAAAGCAAGTAAAAAATGCAAAGAGATACTTCAGAACTAATTTTAGTTTTTCTTGGAAATTAGGGTTATGTATGGGGGTTGGGTTTTTTTAATCTGTCCATCTCAGCTCCATGTTTCTAATAATTATGATGCCATTGACCAATTCCAGATAAATATGAAAAGGATATGAAAGCCTTACAAATACTGCATCCCGACACGATACATAGAAAGGGTTAGCTAAGTAAAGTACAGAGATTATCAACATCCACCCAAGGAGGGAAAAAATAAAAATTGTATTCACTTGTTTATAAACAAAGCGTTCTGTTTCAGAAAGGAAACGGCAACCCCTAATATTAAATAGCTACTTCAAACATTATGTTGTGTTTCAAAATGTCATCAGTAAATATTATGCAGTACTACATGTCATGAAGCTATGTGAAAAATTTAGAAAAAAAGGGTCAGGAATTTGAACTCTGATCTCTTCCATCACAGTACAGTAATTTCAGATAAAAAGCCACCCCCTCCCTCTGAAGTGTTACTGTAATATACAGTAATATAGTTCTTTAAGTGTACTACTGGGGCTGTATGGCAACAGGCAACAATAATAAATGTTACATATGTAAGACCAAACTGCAATTAAATGTAAACTTTCTGTAACATCCCATTCTATAGAAGGTCATTAGAACAGATACATAGCTCAGACACACAAGAAAAGGTGATTGGAAGTGGTAACAGAAAAGGAATACTGTTACTGTGGTGTTTGTCCCTTGCAATACCAGATCTAGTTAATGTATACATCAGGGTTATTCATCTTTCTTTTTTTTAAACATACTGCTTTGCATTTGTATCAAATAACTAATTTAATTTCAATTTACTTTTTGCTCTTCGAAAGCTGTGAAACCAACAGTTGCCCTGTGCCAGCAAAAGTGTAAGAGGAGTGGGACTCTCGAAAGTAATTATTGTTCAAGCAACTTTGGTAAGGAAGCGAAGTTTGTTTCTGTTTAATTATTCACTTGGCACTGTGTTTTTAGACTCAGGAATTTTACCAGATGTAGTTCTGGAATATCATTAATATATAGGCTGTATTTTTACACCATTTTATTTGTGTATCTGACATTGGTATCTGTGTTTCATTCAATACATTCTTGAAGATATTCCAAAATAGGCACTGCACAAACAAACATACTTTCTCAATCTAAAAAGCAATGTAAGATGTCCTTCTACAGGAAAGTACTGATTCAATTACTGTATTGTCATCTCATTTGTCTGTAACCAGCCAGTACACATTTTATGCCATACCTGCTGACTACTCCACATTTCAGTTTATAGACTTCCAAAATATTTTTAAAAGAAGTTAGAAGGCGTGGAAGCTTACAAGTATTGCTTTCCATACAGACACAAATCACTCAGGAAAAATTATGTCTGCTGTTCATTTGGATGGCATTGCAACTGCTAATTTATTCACTTATGTCTCAGAGTATTTTCTCATATTAATACTGGAAGCTTTTTTTAATCCCCTATAACATGCCTAAAAATTTCATGGGCCAACTCCCTCCCCCCACCACCACTTTTTGTTTGTTTGTTTTAATCTAACTTCATAGCTAATCCCATGAGATTGGAGGAAATCTGCTGTTTGAGGAAAGTGGGTGCAGCTTTGCATCATTTTGCTAGAAAAACAGTCAAGGGCTGTGGCTGTACCCTACAGTAGAATGGAGTCACTGTGGCACAATTCTTCACCACCAGCCTGTTCTAATTTGCAAACAGTATGGCCTGGCCCAAAACCAAAAGAAGCAGGTAGGGGGAAGAAAAAAAAAAAAAGAAGAAAAAAAAAAAAAAAAAAAAAAAAAAAAAAAAAAAAAAACA